GTTTCTTGGTTGGGATGTATTTCTGAGTAGCAGGATCTCAACTCTGAGATCTTGAAGTGTTTAATCTCTTTCCAGCCCCTCTTAGAGGAAGGAGGGATCCAGGGATGGCACTAATGTTAGCAACAGATGTACAGCCTTAAGATAAATATCTGGTATCTACTTTGACATTGATAACACTAATTGCCACTATATAGGAATGATGGGTCAGCATTTAACAACAGTACCAATGATAAAAATAATTTTAAAAATGTGATCAGCAACTCTAGTGATGCAGCCACATCAATGCTTATAGCAGCTCCATTCACGATAGCTAAGCTATGGAACCAATGTGGGTGCTCTTCAACAGATGAATGGATAAAAAAATATGCTCAGCCATAAAGAAGAATAAAATTATGGCATTTGCCAGTAGGGAACTGGAGACTATCATGCCAAGTTAAATAAGCCAAGCCAATCCCCAAAAAATCAAAGGCCAAATGTTCTCTCTGATATGCGAATGCTAACACATTATGGCAGGGGGCAGTGGGGGGAGAATATAAGTTCATTGGATTAGACAAAAAGGAATGAAGGGAAGGGAGGGGAGTTGAGAATAGGAAAGACAGTAGAGTGAATCGGACATTACTTTCCTATGTTCATACATGAATACATGACCAGGGTAACTCCAAATCATGTATAACCACAGCAATGGAAAATTATACTCCTTGTATGTATAATATGACAAAATACACTTTACTGTCATGTATATCTAAAAAGAACAAATTAAAAAAACTTGAATGGAGTAGGAATTACCTAATCTATATAATTTCTAGTTTTAGTAGGATTACAGTTTCTTGAGTAAGAGGAAATAGGGTAGGAAGGCAAGAAAACGCTGAAGTGTTTGAAAAGGTGATGAGAGACAGGAGATAGAGAACACGTGTCAGTTATAAAGAAGAATGAATGAGTTTTCTAAAGTAATGAAAACAAGAGAGGAGGAGGAAATAAGAGATTTTGGCTGTTATTGGTAGCAGAGAGTGAAGAATGGGAGCTAGGAAGGGCCGAACCTAGATAAGAATGAATCAGCAAACAAAATCAAAACTACTCAAACCCTCGCATAATTGTACCCACGGAAGTCTAAGCTAGGCTAAATAATGAAGGCATGCAGGAGGGAGCCACTGATGTGTAAGTCAGATGAAGATAAATAGGTAGGTAGGTAGGTAGGTAGGTAGATAGGTAGGTAGATAGGTAGGTAGGTAGGTAGATAGATAGGTAGGTAGATAAATAGGAAGGTAGGTAGATAGGTAGGTAGGTAGGTAGATAGGTAGGTAGGTAGATAGATAGGTAAGTAGATAAGTAGATAGGTAGGTAGATAGGTAGATAGGGAGGTAGATAGGTAGGTAGTTAGGTAGATAGATAAATAGGTAGGTAGGTAGGTAGGTAGAGGGTAGGTAGATAGGTAGGTAGGTAGATAGATAGGTAAGAAGATAAGCAGATAGGTGGGTAGATAGGTAGGTAGGTAGGTAGATCGATAGGTAAGTAGATAAGTAGATAGGTAGGTGGATAGATAGAAGGTAAGTAGATAAGTAGATAGGTAGATAGGTAGATAGATAGGTAGGTAGATAGGTAGGTAGGTATAGATAGGTAGGTAGGTAGGTTGATAGGTAGGTAGGTAGGTTGATAGATTGATTTTTCAAACCTATCTGCACAGTGGGAGCATACACAACTCACACATGCACACTCATATACAGAAAATAATGGGAGAAATGTGAAGAATGATACAATACAAAAACAGTGTTTGAAAAAAGTTAAAAATTTAAAAGTAAAAAAAAAAAAAAATGAGAACATAGAGGATCCTTTCCAGGGCCTCCCGCGCGGCGCTCCCCCAGAGCGTTCCCCCCGGGCCCCCCCCCCCCCGGGGGCCCTTTGGTTTTTTTTTTTCTGGGCCCCCCCCCCCCCCCGCCCCAAACTCTGTCCATTGAAATCCGCCTTCCTCTGTGAACCCAGGATTCTCTGGGTCCGTTTCTTTACTTTTCGATTTCTCTACCCCCAGCCCCGTGCCTTGCTTGTCCACACTCCCACTCGCTGGGCTGGTGGCCCGCGATTCATCTCTGAGGGATCACTTCTTAGCTCAAGTTACCAACTTTCTTGGTTCTGGATTTCCTCTTTTTCCTGATTACTCACCTAGCTGAGGTGCTGAGGAGCTGCAGGTGGCTTCCCCTCTCTGCTCCGCCCTCTTCTTCTCCACCTCATGGACAGGTGCGGCCTGGCCCCATTATTCCATTACACCTTGTAACAGGTGTCTCCCCCACAGCATTTACACAGTAAAACAGCCATTTCGCTATTCAGCTTGCACTTGTTTATATTTTAGTTAGGTGGGTATGTTTAGAGACTGGTGAATTTGTTAATCTGTTCATTTCGTTTCAGAACAGCAAGAGATGCTAGGCCTTTGTTGGAATATATTTTATCAGCATGATTTTCACCTGATGGTTGGAAAGTGATGATATGAAACCTTTATTACAAAAAGGTGTGGGTGTCAGGTAGTGCCAAGAGCATTGCTTTACCTACTGTCATCCTGCATCTTCATGTTAACACGTCCACCATGATACCTGGACTGACGCAAGCAGTGTCCACTCAGGTCTAAGAAATTCATATGAACTACTGTTGGATATATTCAAAGGAGATGTTTACAATTTTTTAGCAGCAATATATTTTTCAAACACAATTTATAAGAGATATCCAGATATAAGTACAAACCAAAACAAAATTGCAGAGACTAACTTAAGGCAGAAGAAGCCAGAACCTTCTTTGGCCTTCCATATGGCTGCAGAAAGAGTCTGAGAAGTACGAATCTGGAACAGTAGTTTGAGTTGGGCACTGCATACAGTGAAGACTGGTTCTGAAAAGCCATTCTTAGGACGGTCATTCAATGCACATGTGGCATCTTCTCCACAGAAAAGGGCTAATACCTCCAAAGCTTTGTTTGTTTGTTTGTCTGTTTTGGTAACAGGAATTGAACCCAGGGGTGCTGAGCCACTGAGCCACTTTCCCGGCCCCACTCCTTTTTTTTTTTTAATTTAGAGACAGAGCCTCACTAAGTTGCTTAGGGCTTTACTAAGTTGCTGAGGCTGACTTTGAACTCACAATCCTCCTGCCCCGGCCTCCTAAGCAGCTGGGATTACAGATGTGCATCACCATGCTCAGCCCTTCAAAGCTTTTTAACTCATGAAGCTGTGGAACTACAACACTAAGAACCCTCCCCTCGCTCCAGGGAGTGAAAGGAAACACGGCCACCCTTCTACACACACAGCCAGCTCAGGTGACCAGCAACACCAGCAGGGCCTGGCTCTCCTCTGATATGGCTCCCTCCTGGCCACTAGCGCCTGTCAGCACACTCTGCCCTGCTGCCCCGTGTGGCACACCCATCCAGTCACACGCTCCAGCCTCTTCTATCCCTCCTGTGAGTGGCACACACACCCTATCTGCCTGCAGGTCCCAAAGAGGCCAAGGTGAACAGCCTGAGTGAATTCAGTCACACTCACTGCCACTGGCTGCCAATTCCCTTACCCCCACCCCCAGAAGCCTTTCAAAGACCAGAGGCTCACCACCTCCAGTGAATCCCTCACGGGTTGAATTTCAGGCAATTCAGCAGAATGAACCACTCCGGGATGTGAGGAGGGTATCAGGAGTAGGAAATACCAGCTCCTCCAGGAGAGCACTTGGAAAAGTTCCTGTTGTAATTTTACTCTGCGTCTGTGTCTGTGGCTCCCGCGCTAATTCGTGAAATCCTCAAATGCTTGGGAGGGTTTACTACAGTTTTTTAATATTAGTGCCCACACTGCTGGCAGCCACAGTGGTCACTTGTAAATCTTTGAAAACACCTTGACCACTCTTCTTCAATAGCTTCATGTATGACGCAAAACAGAAATATTTCAATTACAGGTGACTAAGAGTAAGAAAAATATACAACTATATTTAAAACACTTAAATTAACAAGATAGTACTTTTTCCATTCTAACAAAATATCATACATTCAGTTTAAACAAGAGTTAATATCCAGACGCTTTTTCAAAATACCTGATGCTAGTTGAAAATTAGTGACCATGAGGCTTTCCAAGATATTTCTAATTAGCAAAATGTATACAGTTTTGAAGAACTGTAGGTATTTTTAAACCAACATAGAATTTTCATAATTCACTTGAAATCAAAAACTCAAGGTAGACATTGAATAGGTCAAAATGCAAACTGATGTGTCTCTCATAAACCAAAATCTTGCTTTACCTTCCTGAATGATACTTTGGCTTTCAGCAAACCTTATAGCTTCTTTTCCCCTAAAGACAATACATGACAACATTGACGACAACCTCTCACAAATAACCACACCCTTCTCGGTGTGTAATGAGCCCTATCCGAATGTGCTCGTGTGTTTCTGTATTAACTGACCTAGACGGGGACCACTATGACACAGGGGGTTGACGGAGGGTCACAGGTCTACATGTAAACTCTGCTCTGAAGAGCATCACAGGTGCCTGCCAATGTCAAAGTCAAAGTCGCTGTACTTAAAATATGGTATATAGCTTTAAAAAAAAAATCAAAACAAAAATGTGTTCTCCACTGGCTTTTTCAGATAAAGAAGATGGACCACAAACCGACTCGGTGTGGCAACAGCCACCAATGAGTCCCCCACCCCCCCAGGAAAACAAAAACCAGCGCCGCCAGTTCCTGACGAGGACCACAGCCTCTGGCCCCCACGTGGATTTACAGGGCATCTCCGGGTTCCAATGCCGGGGACAGGAGGAAAAGCAGGCTCTCCATGTCCCTCCTTCTGTCTCCACGAGCAGCACCTGCGGTCCCCTGGATCTCTTGCCATCCCATTACTTCAAAACTCTGAGAAAGGCAGCATACAACTCTCCAAAAGGAAAAAGTGAAATCACACAAGGTCACTACATAACACTGTGGGTGAAGTCCCAAGGGTCTGTCCGCGGAGGAAGGAGGCACTTGGTAGCAGGAGACAGGCAGGGGTCCCTCCAGGGCAGCCCTCAGGGAGTCAATAGCTTCAGGCGGGTGAGCCAGCTGACCAGCAGGGACGGCTCTGCCGACTTCCCCGAAGAGGCAGATTTCTTCTTGGTCCCTTCCTCCTGGAATGGGATGGTGGCACTGCTGTGGAGATCCGCGTTGATGTAGCACCTGCTCCCTCGGATGTAGTCTGCACCCCGCACCAGGTGCCTCTCGGCTGTGGGTCTGGAGAAGCGATACTGGGAGTAGGTGCTCTCCTCGATGATGGGGGGAATCCGCTCGTTGCTAAAATACCTGCAGAGGGCATCTTCCCCTGTGTCAGGAGAGAGCACACAAGTCTGTTAAAATAGCAATCCCTGGCACAGTGCCGCACGGAGGGTCCTCAGCCTACCCCAGCGTTGGATGACACCCTGAAAGCGGGCACCCTACCCAGCTCTCCTTTCTGGATGGGCTTCAAGGCCCAAAGACTGGGCAGGCCCACCTGGTGGGTGTTCACAAAGCAGAAGTGGACGGGTCCCTCCTGCTTCAGGCTGCTCTTGCACTGAACAGGGAGCACGAGGCCCGGCACAGCCTAAGAGCATGCACTTCCTTACCCCTGGAAAAACCCTCAGAATTCACTTAAAATCACAAAGCAATGACAGAAAGTGGTAAGACTCTCTCACTCTTTCCCCAGCCATCCTGGCTCAGCACCTGAGCATGAAGTACATGCTGACATTGCTCCTGCTCCTGGAGCACCCCCAATGAGCGCTTAGCAAGGTGGGGGTGCCCTTGGATGTCACCCTGAATGAAGGTCAGGCACCATTCACCTTTAGCGATGAGCAAAAATCTGCAATGATTGGGACATTCCTGAACAAAGGATGATCTTGTCTTAAATGCCAGCAGACCTCCTGGGATGGGGGAGATGTTTAAGAAACTAAACAGGAATTTAAGAGACAGGACACACTGGCAACACATAGCAGTCTTTGGAAATTCCACTCCCCAAAATGTGCAAAGATCTATGTACACAGATGCTTATGGAAACACAATTCTTTAACTGTGAAAAACCCAGAAAAAATCCTAATTGTCCAACAATAGCAAACTGAATACATAGGTGTCCAGCCATGAGATGGAACACTAATGCAGCTGCAGTAAAAAAAAAAAAAAAAAAAATATATATATATACTCTAGATAGGATTCGTTTTACATAGTGTTCCTGAACGTCTGGGTTTTTTCCACTTTCCACATTTTTCCAAGTGTAGAATATGTAAATATAGGAATGATTTGGAAGATACACAAAACATTCACAGTAATTGCTCCTAGGTTTGTGGAAGTTGATTCCAGCTGAGTTTTATTTTCTCGTGCCTTCTAGATGTTTTCCAATGTTTTGCTTTTGTGACTTGTTTTGCTTTTGTAACTAAAGGGGAAAAGTCGCTTTTAAAAAGTGTCAGAAAGCCACACATTGTATGAGTCTATTTATATGGAATGTCCAGAATAGGCAAATAGACACAAAGTGGATTAGTGTCACTCAGGGGCTGGGGACAACTGGAATTGAGGGGGATGGCTAAAAGGCACAGGGGTTCTTTTGGATGATGGAAATGTTCTGAAATAAGATTGTGGTGATAATAATATATAAGAAATATGTATATATATAGACACACATATATATTCAGTAATAACCAGTAACCTTGATTACAAGGTGAATATCCAAAAAACCACCATGTTGTACATTTGAAGAGTGAAGTTCACGCTCTGTGAGTCACAATAATACCGTTGGCTAAATGCAAACAGACATCTGCAACTCTAGATCGATCACACAAGAAATGCAGAAGAAAGAGTGGAGGGGACTCCCATTTCCCATTTTCATACTCCCCAACTCCTACGCTCCATCTCTCAAAAAAAAAACAAAACAAAACAAAAAAGGCTGCGTGGAGCTCAGAACCATGACAATGAAGATGTCAGCATCCCCAGATCTAAACAAAGCGCAGCCTGCCACCTGCTGACTACTCCTCAGTCTCACAAGTAAACTAAGAGTATCCTGAACCACAGACTGGCATCCTGACCCTTTGTCACTTTAGCACAAGCCTAGTGACAGCAGTACTCAGATGACACTTTCCCAAGGCGCTAGCTGATGTCAGGGGATGATCACTTTGGAAGCTTAAGCCTCCAGAATGTCCTTCCCCTTCCTTTTACCAACCTCAGGGTCACGCAGCTTTAACTTTTCGCCTGCTCTTTGCTGCCACACTGCACAAGCAAGGTCATGGTCATGCCCTGCCGATGCTGATAACCAAAGGGGATCCAGCAAAACTCCGAACATTTTAAAACACTTCCCTTAAGACTAGCAGTAACAACCAGGAACCTTGATTACAAGGTGAATTCAACACAAATTTCTTTCAAATAGTCACCATTCTCTAACCCAAGAAGGATTGGGGAGGAGAAAAAACTCCACATTGGCTCATCAGAAAAAATAAATAAATGGACTCCAGTAATAAGTCAATAATTCAGGATGAGATTATTTAATAAGCAATTTATTTCACTTGTTAAAAAAAAAAAAAACTTTAAATAGACCTTTTTTAAAGGTCTACAGCCTTTTTAAAGTCCACAATGCTAATCAGGAGATGTGCACTCACTAACTAGGATTATGTAATCTTTCCCTGTATTCCATCCCAGAAATAAGTGGAGCCTTAGAAAGCTTCAGCAGACCTGGTTTAACAGATGACAGAATGGGAGTAAGAGAGGCTAACTACTTTCCAATTACCATCACACATTCAGGAATAGAGGAGAGGCCCAGGCCCCCCAGGTCTGCTTAGATAAAACCTACCTTTCTTCCCATGACCTCGAGGTCTGGCAAAAGGGTCCACAATCCCCATCCAGTTCCCATCCGCAGGCATGGACAAAGGCCGGGGCTTGCCTTCAAAGGGACAAGAAGGAAAGTGACCAGGTTGGAGAGGTTGGGGACTTCAGCATCTTTCCCTTCATTTCCAACTTGGATCCCCACAGGAGCACAGCCCCTTCAGCAGAAGCAATCACAGATTTTAAAATAAGGGAAGTATTTTAAAGCACTGTGTTTCCGTAGCAAGCAATTAGGACACAGGCATGATAAACCTGAGCCTCTGAGTCCACAACGCCCAAGTTAAAACCAGGCAGCGAGAGCTAACCCTGAAATGTGAGCCCGGCCAGCTGGGCCTCGCGACCAGCAGAGCAATGACTCACGAGGCCGCGCTCCAGAGCTGAATAAAGGCCTCATACTTAAAATTTCATTGAGGTTCATGTTTTCCTCGGATTACCCTTTGAGCCTGCCAAATTCACCCAACAGTTCCAAATAAGGAAGGGGTGGGAGGAGACGTAACAGGGGAAAACAGCAGAACAAGACAAACGCTCAGAAACTCACCGTAAGATGGTGTTTTCTCTCTCATTTTCGTGGGTGGTGCGCTGGTTTCCACCGAGTACCCCGGCAACTGGTCAGAGTCAGCAATGGTGAACCTTCGTCTCCGGCTCTCCTGGTCCAGGAAGGAATTCGGGGACTCCGAACCCTTGGGGCCAGGCAACGGCTGTTGACACTTGCTGAATCCGCCGTAGGCATCCCTGGAAGATAATGTGCAACGATTAAGATGCTCACCTCGTCTCCTACCAAAAAATCACGGGAATTGTACCCCCTCGAGCACACGTGAGAAAACTCCTCTCTCCACTGGAGGAAAAGTGTCACTTTACTCAACCCCAGTGGCCCCCCAAACACACAGCTCCTAATCAAATAAGAACAAGTACTGTGACCCTGATAAATCACAATAAAGGCAGCTTTTTGGTCACGTATACCTAAATGGTACAAAGATGCTTTTGCAAAGAGAGCTCTGGTGCTCCTGTGTTCTACCCTGCAGCTGAAGTTCCTATCCGTGTCAAGAATCAGAAGTTGAAGCGTGAGCTACCAAACCACTTTTCGTGCACCGAGAGTAGTATCTTTGTCAAGATTCATCAAATAAGACTCTTGATGTATAATGAAGTTGTTAGATTTGAAGATTAAGCCACAGAGACAAAGGATGCTTTATAGTAACCAATGGAGACTTTCTGAACTGAATAAAGAAACCGGAAAATGTTGGATCACGGACTCCTCCCTAATTCTATCTAAATGTCAGCTTTTAATAAAACTTAATTTTGGTTTATCTCAAGTTAAAAGATGGTAAATAATAATAATAATAATAATAATAATAATAATAATAATAAGCACTTAGCAAATTCCTTTAAGCAATCAGGAAAACACCACTGGACAAAATACAGAGCCTGCTGCCTCCTGTGTGTCCTAGTGATGTGTGTTCGCGTGTGCATGAGTGCACGTGTCTCTTCAGGCAGATTAAAGGCCCCAGCTCCCTCTCTTCCTCATCCTGTACATACCCCTTTCTTCCCTCTGTGACAGCCCTCACAGAGGCCCTTACCAGGCCCCAGGAGTATATCGTTTTGTAAACTTTTCAGAAGTAAGGTATTTCTGTATTCTTTTCTTAAAGCCCCACCCCCTCACCAAACTGCACAGCTTCAAGCCCCATATGACCTAGACCTCCCCCTGCACCTCCCCTGCACCTCCCTCTGCACCCCCCACACCGTGAGACCAGTGAGGCTCCAGATTCAACCAGCCACACTGCAACCCAGCAACCTGCTCCTGGAGGTTTTCACGCCCCTCTTGCTCGTCTACACACACACGGGGGCTAGCACACCATGAAAACAGGAACCGCGTACCGAGGAGAGTAGGGAACAGCAGGCGGAGGAGGAATGTAAAGGTCCAGGATGGCTGGCTTCTCCTTCTTCAGAGAGGCGTCCATGGTGCCTTCAGGGGACTGGGTCGTCGTGGGTGGGGGCGAGGTCTGCAGTGACGGCCACACAGAGCAAAAAAGGGCAGAGGTCAGTCAGCAAGGAGATTACCCTGGTCACACCTTTCCCTCCCCGAGCCAAGGCCAGCCCTGAGTAAGCAGAGGCCAAGGTCATCCACAGGTTCACAGCTGTCTATAGTACTCGGCTCCCGGAAGACACTCAGAATTGACGCAGGATTAAATCAAAAGGCAGGTGCCAGGGTGTAAGTCGAGCTCTGAGAAAATCAGTTGAACACCCGAGCCTCAGTTTCCTCCTCTGTGAGACAGTGACACTGAGAACACTGTCGCACAGAGCTGCAGTCAGGGCTGAGTTCATTCATGAAACTCACTAGCAGCGCTAGTACTGACGAGGAGTGTGGGCTCAGAACTCTGGGTGTGATCCTGGCTTTCCTGGATTTCTGTGTATCGCTGAGCCAGGCACTCAACCTCTCTGTGCCTCATTCATAAGATGGCAATAAATGGGAATAAGAACAGTATTCAACGGGGGTACCTATGAAAAATCAAGAGATTACACATTGTTCAAAGAGCCTAGGACACTGCTTGTCACCAAGTAAGCACACTATTTCATGTGCATGAATTTAGCCATACACGTGCTGCAGATACTCATATACCTAAGTTAATTAAATTTTTAAAGTACATACGGCTTCATTTTGTTACCAAACTTCAATTATGTTACCAATCTCAAAGGATCTATTTTTTTTTTTTTTAACTTTGGGTGAGTCCCCCAGTCTTATCCTTCTGCACTCTTAACAATGACAACGACAGACTTTTCTGGTTGATAAAGAACCGCAAGGAGGTCTCACAGTCAAGATGGGCAAACATCTGGCGGAGACCAGAGAGAACTGTGCTGGACCTGCGCCAGGTACAAAAAGCTACCTTTATACCCCCTCTGCCTGGGTGGTGACAGAAGCTGTCACTGCGGGAAGACTGTGAACCAGATTCCAAGCCTGAAGGGACCAAAGAGCCGGTGTGGCCAGAGCTGGCAGTAGCCACCAGGAGAGTCACAGAGTGATGGCTATTTTCAACAGAGACACCAAGACACAGAGGCCAGGCCCAGTCTTCAGCCTCCTACAGCAACCCTCCCTTGCAGACTTTGCCACCAATGAATGCACAATCTGTCTCTTCTATTCAGTATAGAATCAACTTCACGGTCTGTCGATCTTGGACCATATCTGAAGACACGGGGCCAGGATCCAGACCCTTAAAACCTCAGAAGCAAAAGTAGATTATTTCCACAGGACAGATATTCCCTGAACTCTGCACACGGTGCTGATATACGGCTCTATCAACCCTCATCTACCAGGACTGTGGCCTCAAAGCAGAACGAAACACCTCTTCTGTGACAGAGTAACACTAATGAGTCAAAAAGAAGAGGAGGCTAGGGCTACAGCTCAGTGGTAGAGCACTTGCCTAGCACAGGTGAGGCACTAGGGAAGAAGAAGAAGGAGAAGGAGAAGGAAAAGAAGAAGAAGAAGAAGAAGAAAAATTAAGAGCTGCCTCCTGAGAGTGCTGAGCGCCCAGGCCTGAAGAACAGGGAAGAATGAAACACAGAGGAAGGCCCGGGGCCGGGGCCGGGCGAGCTCACGGAGGATTCGTCCACCAGCATTCACGTTTTGAAGATATCCTGGACACTTCACAAGAACACTTGGTAGCTGAGCTGTTCAACAGCTCCGCCTTTTGATGGTGGCTCAGATGCAAAACTAGATACCTTTCTCCCTCGCCGTGGGCTCTTCCCAAACATGTCAGGAAGGCAAATCTGGAGAAAATGCACGAGTGAGACTTCTACGGGAGTTCCCAGGAGTCACCGGGGGGCTGGGGAGCCTGTACTTAAACAGGATTTTCCATTATGCTCTGGACACATCCATGTGGACTTTCCTCTGTCACCTCCAGCTCAGACTCGAGACTCCTGCCATCTCTGCCTTCCAGGTGGCTTCTTAACTTTCTGATTGTTGTCACCTCGTAGGTTTCCCATCACCCTGGACACCTGCTTTTCCCTTGTCTTGCTGGCATTCCCAGAGCCCTCTCTCTCCAAGAGCCGGCACTACACTAGGACAGCGAGGCTTACGAAGGTTAGACACCAAGCCAAAGGCCCAGAGCCGATGAGCGACAGAGCTGAGGTGAGGACTCGGGACCCAGCATGAGAGCCACCCTCCTGGCCACCAGGCTGTGCTACTCCTTGAGCCCCAGTGTGGCTGCTTCCCAAGAGGTCTCTGGCACTGTCCATCTTTCATCTGAGCTGCCCAGGACCCCTTTGCCCCACACCTGGACCTACACAAGGGACTCCTCCCTGGTCGGTGTTTCTCGTGTCTAGATATTGCAGTGTGCTGAACTGTTGTCCCCTCAAGTTCTGACGTTGAAGCCCTAACCCCCAGCACTCCAGAAAGTAACTGTATTTGCAGATCATGTTAAGTTGCTGGGCACAGCGGTGCATGCCTGTAATCCTAGCAGCTCAGGGACTGAGACAGGAGGATCGCAAGTTCAAAGCCAGCCTCAGCAATAGCAAGGCACTAAGCAACTCAGTGAGACCCTGTTTCTAAATAAAATACAAAATAGGGCTGGGGATGGGGCTCAGTGTTTTAGTGTCCCTGAGTTCAATCCTGGGTACCTTCCCCCCCAAAAAGCCAATTAAGTTAAAATGAGGTCACTAGGGTAGAATCAATGCAATATGGCTAGTGTCCTTATAAGTGATTAGGACACAGACACACACAGAAGAAATCAACTCTGCCAACACCTTATCTAGGACTTCAACCTCCCAATCTATGGTGCTTTGTTATGGCAACTGTTGCACAACAGTAGAGATAGTAATGCAAAGCAGGGGCCAACCTGTCACCTGTGGGTGAAGTCCACCCCCTCAGCCTCATCCTCTGTATCTGCACCACACAGTCTCCGCTGACCAGGCGTTTTATCCACCACCTCTGGCTTCAGGGAGTCTGAGCTACTCACTTCTTGCCTACCCAGAACCCCTAAACAAACCAGGACCATCCACATCTGTTGTGGCTGTCACCTCACCTAAAAGCTCACAGCTGTCCCTTCTCCAGAGGATAACAGCCTCTCCTGCACAGGGCCACCAAGGCCCGTAGCTATCTGGTGACACCAGGATGCTTTGACCTACAAACTCTGCCCTTCCTTGATGGCAGCCCATCCACGTCGTGTGTTTAAAGAGCAGCGCTCACCTCTGTGACACACACTCTCACCTGCCAGTGCAGGTCCCACCTACTCCCGGCTCCAAAGTGCCAGCTCATCAGGAAGAGGCGCCCTCCCCGTCACAGTCCACATGGCCTCTTCCTCAGAGCCCGCATCTCCCCTGCAGCAGTGAGCTGGCAGGGCTGGCAGCTGGGAGGCACGCCATCAGCTCTCTGCCAGGAATAAAGCACTTCTAAGACATTAAGTGTCCCATTCGGAGAATCCAAGATTTAAATCTAAACAGGTTTAAATTTTTATACTGAGCCACTAAACAAAAGCAGCTGGGCATGATCAATATTCTCAGCTATGGGAAGTGATATCTTGGCTACGACCCCAAAGCACAAGCCTCTAAAGTAAAACTAGACAAAAGGGATCGCATCAGACTAAGAACAGTTCTGCCCAGCAGAGGAAATAATCAACAGAATGAAGAGACAACTCATTCAACATTGCAGAACCGTAGAAAACACCGTGTTAAGTGAAATGAGCCAGGCACTGAAAAACAAAGACTCCACGATCGCACCTCTATGTGCCATCTTAAAACCTCAAACTCAGCAGCCAAGAGTGGACAGGTAGGTGGTGACCAGGGAGAAGGGAAGGAGGGATTGGGGAGATGTTGGTTAAAGGACAAGATTTTCAGTGAGCTGGGGCAATGGGGGGAAGAAGTCCAAGAGTTCTTATTATACCACATGGTGATGATGTTTAATAACTATGTATTGCACACTTAAAACTGCTGAGTAGATTTTAAGTGTTCTTACCACAAATCAATAAGTATGTGCAGTAATGCATCCATTAATTAGCTTGATTTGGCCATTGCACAATGTATACATATTCCAATAAAGTAGTGTTTTTTTTTTAAAGAGAGAGAGGAGAGAGAATTTTTTTTTTTTTAGAGAGAGAGAGAAAGAGAGAGAATTTTAATACTTATTTTTTAGTTTTTGGCAGACACAGCATCGTTGTTTGTATGTGGTGCTGAGGACAGAATCCGGGCCGCACACATGCCAGGCGAGCGCGCTACCGCTTGAGCCACATCCCCAGCCCAATAAAGTAGTCTTAATCATGAGTCCTCTAACTCTACCCTCCACTTCATACTATTTATTTTTAAACCTCCCCAGCCTCCCATGGGCTAGACTTATAGATATATTTGCAGTGTTCTCTATCACGAAGTATCCAAACTGATGGCTTGAGACTATCACACCTTCCATGTGAAGATGTACCGAAAAAAAAAAAAAAATCACAAGCAGCTACACATAAAATTATAATCTCAATTTTATAAAAAGCTATAAAATGTCATTTCTTTACATTCTTGGCTTAGGAAGTAAATGCTCAGGATCAATCACATTATTAGGACATCTCAGCAGTGAGCTCCTTGTACCAGGTATAGACACAAGGGCCTGTATTGTTTGAAGAGAATTTAAATAACAAAACTCACAGTCAGTTTGTTTTTTTATCATCACCAAAGACTGTCAGTTCTGACTGACACCTAAACAATGCTATCGAGCTGTTGCGGGGCTCCATGGACAGGTCACATCCACAGCACCCACCACGCCTTTGTAGGGAGCCACTAAAGACTCAACCCCATGGGGACTCTCCAAGCTCAGTGTTCCATTGTGCAGAGTTGTATATGTTTATAACATGAGAAGATCGGGCTGGAGATGTGGCTCAAGCGGTAATGCGCGAGGCGCTGGGTTCGATCCTCAGCACCACATAAAAATAAAATAAAGATGTTGTGTCCACCGAAAACTGAAAAATAAATGTTAAAAAATTCTCTCTCTCTCTCTCTCAAAAAAAAAAAAAAAAAGATGAGAAGATCTAAGATAAACTTTCTGCAATGATGGAAATGTCAATATCTGCACTATCTAATATGCAGATGAGCCACATGTGAGCATATTCAATATCTGAAATGAGGCCAGGAAGATGGGAGGAACTGAACTTTTCCTTTAATTAATTTATTTAAATAGTTATAAAAGGCTAGTGGCTACTATACTGTTCAGAGTAGATCTAGAATTTATATTTTCATATAAGCAGGATTATCTAAGCATACACAAACCAACTCCTAAAACCAGTCGCCTTCAAAGGTAATCTTTTTTTTTTTACATTCAGCCTTGTTCATACACAGATACTGGGTGAAGGCTTTAGGACAACAGCTACCTGCACGAGAGGTGGCTTCCAGCGCAGGTTCTTCAAGGGGGCAGGCGTGAAGTTAAAACAACCCGTGGGCCTCTTCTTGAGCAGTAACACCACTCCAGTGGGATTCTCTCTCAATTTCTTCACCAGATTTTTTAGCTGCCATCCCACCTTCAAACAAAGGCAATGAGGAGAGAAGACTGTGTCATGAATAATGAAAAATCAAGCCTATGAATTGATCGCAAGGAAATCAAAATGAGAGCAAATAGGTACACTATCAATATGTTCATCTTAGCACTGCTTAAAACAGTGGAAAGCTGGATAGAATCAGAAAAGCTTTAAAAAATTAAACAAAAAAGACTTTTGATTTTTTTAAAAGTTCTAAAAGGGAAAAATCAGGTCTCAATAAATAAACTCACCACAGTTTGCCGGTTAACCTGAATGACTTCATCACCAGCGTGAATCTTCTGAGATCTGTCTGCAGGAGACTATACAGAAACAAAGGAACCTGTCTTAATTTTTTACACCTTCTATTTCTATTTCTGTTTCTATTTCTTCTCTCTCACTTTCTTTCATTCTTATATAGACAACAAGCAACAGAAATAAAATTTTCTCAGGAAAAAGAATGCTTTTTAGTCTCAAGATGCCGCAGTCCATGGAACCTGACATATAAACACCATATCATCCATTTTATTAGTGTTGGTTGTCACTGATAATCTCTCCATCAGAACAGCTGGTTCATCCAACCTACAGGGAGAGTCTGGACACACTGTCAAAATGATTAGCTGCTAAAAGCCATTTCATCTAAAACACACCTTGTACTTATTCCTATTAGTCTTGTAAAAGAAAACCACTGCTTAACCTGTAGGGATCATCTTTGTAACTCTGGCATCCCTTTTCCTTCCTGAATATAAATCTTGTTTTCCCTCAATCCTGTTTTATATATTACCATGATTCTATTAAAATAGAAAGTTGGGAGCAAACAGAAGATTTATTTCCTTAAAAGACAATGAATTTTATTTTTTTCATTTTCAGGTTAAATTCAAAATGAGTGAATCTTCAGTGTCAAGAAAAAGTTCAGACTTTGCTTCTCCCAAATAATGCACTGCTATTAATTTGCAACAACAGAGATACATATGAAAAGAATATAATCCATTTGTCCAATATTTTGCCCATGGCACTCTGGTTCATGTAAGTAACCGAGAAGTCTTTAAGATACCAAGAGAAGAAAAAAGGTTAAGCCTCTGATTTTTCAGATTCTAAGTCAACATTATCTAGGGTTGAATGTTTAATTCTGTATCTTATGTAACTAGCTGAATCTTCAAACAATTTACAGCTACGCTTAAACTAAATAGCACCTTTGAACACGGGGAGGGGGCAGCAATGAAACCCTAACACACTTGCTGAATTCTTCTCACTCAACTGCCGTGATAGGCTCAACAGGAAATTAGCGAGCAGAATTCAGCTACACAAACACTTCTGCTTCTGATTTAGCTGGGCTCAACACAAGACACAAGTAACAGTGCCAGTTATATCTGAAAACATTTAACCTGCCTCCACTACAACCAGAAGAGCCTCACCTGTGACCTGCAATGTGGGTACCACAGGGCCAAGCCTAACTTGAATCTCTTTCTCTTGAGCGCTTTCTTTAAAACATGAATTTATCTACATTCCTTTTCACACCCACGTGTCAGATGTTTAGCCCACTGTTGCATCCTGAGCAAAGGTTTCATATAAGGTAAGCTTCATTTTATAAAAGAAAGCCCAAAGCCAGAATGTCCCAATCTCAAAGCACATGCACAAATGTCCTGAACTGACTTCCCTTCCTAAGGATCCTCCTGCAGCCATTTCTCAAATATCTTACCAAGCAATTAAGAGCTGTGTTTGGCAGAACACTGGTAAAGAGAGAGCCCGATACCAAAATTTTCCCTAGGGCAGGAGCTCTTGCCTATCTTCACCAGGACTCCAACTACTGAAAAGTGAGGCTTGCTCCGGTTTCCTGCAGATGGGTGATGACCTGAAGAATAATGCCCTCATTCTCCAGAGAATCTCGGGGGTGGAGGAAAGGAGTAAGGATAGAGTGGTCAAGACTCTCATCAAGATCTTGAATAATATCATAATATCAAAAAAGAAGTCCGATAGACGTTCACCCCAGTGAAATGATCCTGACTTCTCGGGTAACTTTCCAAAACACTGGACTGGTAGTCTGAGAATGGCCTAGTGGATTGTATCCAGCCTGGAGGTCAAGATGGAGAAACACGGAGACAACACAGTTGGAAAGCAATGGTCCATCCAATTCTGCCCACCACCACTCACCCTTCTAGGCTTCCAGGAAAACTTTGTGACTTGAAATCACTGTGACCTTAAGTGACAGCCAGAAAACTAACCTGGAGCTGACATTTTCTCCTGCCATTCAAGGATAAAATACACACCAGTAAGTGTAAAGTATCCACATTATGTGCTTGAGAAGCAGGCTCTTACCTACTTCCCACCCTCACCTGTAAGACTTAACCCAGTGTCCAGCACCATCCTAGGTATTCAAAAAACACAAGCTGAATAACTGAAGAATGAGTAACATTTTTAAATGGATCACCCAATGGGATAAGACAAGTTTTCTTTCTTAGATATTTAACAAGATAGTAACCACTTCTCTCATGGCAACACCAGAATAGATGACATCCAGGTCAACCCTAGATCTGTTACCCAGTAGTATGATTTTGGTTGGAATTCGGGGGTATATATCATTAATGACATTGGACATTTATTTGATTCAAAAACTGTTTAAACTTTTATTAACTCTCTTCTTTAAGCAAAAGGGACAGGGCAGAAGGAAGGAATCTATGCCTGCTGGTAATGATGGGGAAATAGTCCACGTGAAGTTGCTCAAGAAGGCCAGGTAGAGTCTGGAACCCCCCAGGTCTGGTTAAGTCAAACAATATAATAACCAAATCACATGACTGCAAACCTTCAGCTCTTGGAAAACACCAATGCTCACCTTCTAAATCCATCGGACTCCAAAACAATGTACTGACTGATACGTGGATATCACTTCCTGTCATGGTTGAACTGCAATATACCAATTCTCCAACAAGGATGAGGGGGAATTATGGAAAGCCTTGAGTACTTTTTCTTTAGCATCCTCCCCCGCCTAAAAACAGAGCTTCCTGTGCTGATATTACCTATCAGGTAAGATGATATAAAAACCCCTTCTGATTCTCAGTGTTTCCTCAACAGGGGATAATTAAAGACACAACTGTCTTCCATTTAATTGTGGATCAGAACTGTGCAACCCACTTGGGATTCATTAACTACCTTAAGCAATGTAATTTTCTTACTACAAAAATCAAGTGTTTATCACAAACACTCAGCAAAGATCATGCTATTTTCTTTTATCAAAAGACAAAGCAGCCAAAGCACAAAATTGGACAGGCATTTCCAAAGAGATTAGAAAAATAGCTGCTTTTTGAAATTATCTCCTCTTGTCTTGGTTGATTAAACAGATTAATTCCTGTTTCTTTGACACATACCAGGGAAGCTACTCACATGTGTTTAGCTTTATGTCAGTGTCATTCAAAAGCCAGCCACACCACAAGTTGCAAGAATAGCTACTTTTTACAAACTGAAAAGTGAAGAGAAAAAAAATACAACCCTACATATAGCCGCATTTCCAGAAGGAAATGAGTTGTGTATAAAGTCTCTCTCACAGTTGAAACAGACCTGCTTTTTCCATTCACAGGACTGGGAGCGGGGGACGACTAAATTTCAGAATCATGACAAATATTATGAAATATAATGCTGTAAAAAGAATTTGTGTTGTGCAAAAAAAAAAAAAAATCTTAAAATAGCTGCTTTGGAGACATAAAAATTCCATTTAACCCCCCCCCCAAAATTACATTTTACACATATGGCCATCAAACCCAGTTCTTATAAGAGTGATTCATAACAACAAAGAGATCATTGTTTTTGTATTCGTGGCTTAGCACTGGCACGGTGCAAAAAAGAAAGGTACCACAAGACTGGGGGTAAAAGCTAGGCATGACGTGTGAACAAGAGCAATAAAGGACAATTTAAATAATAAAGTGACAGCTGGTGACAAGAGTACAGCCCTCTATCAACAGATATAAACAAAACAGGCACCCACACCAGCTCCCACTGCCGATAGCAGCATGCAAACATTTAAATGAGAAGTACAGAGCTCTGTGTCAATTTGTTTAAACACACAATGGCTTTTAACTTTAAGGGATGCACTTACATTTTCTGTAGTTCCAGTAATCACGTGCAATCCATCATAGGTTGACTTGATGTACATGCCCTAGAGTTTCACAAATACATTAACCTGTTACTCCAATATTTAAAGAGAAGAGCAGAGAGAGGGACGTAAACTTACAAATCAGGCACAGTCGCCACAGAACAATACTCATTTTTAAGCCTTCTGAAGCACCATGAAACAAAATCCAAAGGGCAGTGAAGGAGAACTAAACAAATCAAAAGTCTGGTGAGAGAGATCAGACCCGTGAGATCTCTTTGATATGACAATCTGTGTACCTGGCACACAGAATATTGTCCCGACTCTTTATGATGTAGGAATTTTCTCAGACCTGCTCAAACAGGGAGGCATTTCAAACAAGGACTGTTCTTTCCTGACTACTTCTTTGTCCAGGGACACAATACATCCAGTTCAATTGGTATCAAGGGTAACACCAGTGTGACTTATTCAAACCCACAGTAACTTCGACTGGGGCGTACAAATGAAGATTGTTAAATAATACAACACAGATAGCACATTAGTAGTAGGCATGGCTCCGTCTGAAGGGAAGCTGAAGTCTGAGTAGGCTACGCTCCTTCCTAAGAGCCTGGAGGCAAAATCAGAAGGAAATGGCGTGTCAATAGGACGCACCATGCATAAAATATTTTTTATTAAAACTATTATAAGATGGGCGAAGAGCAAACAGGGTAAAGGGCAGAAAGCAGTTGCTCACCGGCGTGTCTACACTGTACTAATGCAGAAATGATTTTGGCCCTGAACTTGCTCTGCTCAGCAACCTACTGGAAAGAGAACCTCATCAAACACTAAGGCCCTCGGGTATTCCCCACTCCTCTGGTTTCTTTGCAGAGTCTATGAGCTCCCCCCTTACCCAACAGTACTTCCCTTCCCAGGACCCCGCCTGTGCAACATTATGATCTGAAATGGCCGCTCCATCTCTGCAGGGCATGTATCTGTTTCAGTATTACCTATGAACTTATCTCCAGGAATTCCTCCCTATTTAAACTTAATATGTCATGATCCATCATTTACTTTGAAGCCAAGTCTCAGTACGTGTATTTTGACCCACTAAGAATTTCAGCTTGTAGATATGAGTTCTGTTTTCCCCTCTAAGAGCAGGGACTGCCTACACCCCCACGGCTCCTCCTCTTCTTCCTCTTCTGCTCGTCTTCACCAGCACCACCACCAATAGCAGCAGTGGCAGCTGCAGCCCTCCATGAAGGCACACGCTCTGTGCCCTCAGCACCGGGCACTTGGCATGTGTCACCTAATGGCACATTTTCAACAGCCTAAGAGGAAACTGACCTGTGAGTGCTCTCTGACTCAAAGCCTCTAAGCTAATCAATGGGCCTCAGTTGCTTCCCTCAAAGTTCAGCGTATTAATCCGACGGGATGAGTGTTCCAGACTAGGAAATCTGCAATACGCATTCTCAGGGCCTGTTATTACACAGCTCATGCATGTCTTATGAAACATTTCTGAAGGTTTTTTCAGGATTCATTTCCTCCAACCAGCCTGTTCTCACATTCATCCTAAGTGCTAATAGACACTTTCAGAACAGATGTTGTTTTTGTACCCAGAGACCATCTCTCCTTTGCATAAATGTTTTATATTTCCTTGCATTGCTAAGTCCTAAAAATAAAACCATTAAGTTAGGAGTGTAAAGTTTTAAAATTCTATTTATTTTTATACTTTGAAGATAAACAAAAGTCAATGAAATTTAATGTATCAAATTCCTAACTGTATAACTGTAATGTAATTCTACTATTCAGAATGATAATGAAAGCAATAAGAGATTTAAAAGAAAAAAAAAAAACTATGGTAAAAGTTGGTGTGCATTACTTGAAAATAAACAAGTGTTATCAGAATTCTTACCAGGCCTTCCCCAGGTTTGATGTTTGGTAAGTGAACTTCTTCCAGGCATGCACACTGGCTCATAACAGGATCGGTGGTAGAGCGGATTGTTTTGTCACAGATGCCATTTAAAACCTTGACCTAGAATTGGAGAGGCCAATAGTCAGGAGAGTTCAAAGGTTAACCATGTTAATCTCAAGCTGGTTGTTCAAGCAATGCATCCTCCTATCATCCCTAGCTCTGCTCAGCAATCATTCTGTTAATTCTGCTCAATGAACACATGGCATTTGGACCCCATATTTGCAATCTGTGGGGGTGGTGCCACTACTTCAGCTCTGTTTAAAAAGCGCGACTTTATAACCACAACACCTTTACAACCACTGGAGAGTACATGCAGGAAGAAACCCTCTTTTCTCAGTTCAAGGGGACGCATCTACTCCCAGCCACCTTAATGGCTTACCACAGACCACTCATATTTTCTGAACACCAAATACTGACAAGGTTTAAAAAAAAGTATTGTTATTGTTGTTGTTTTAGCCTGAAACATTTTTTAAAAAATAGACTTTACTTTTTAAAGTAAAGTCTGTAGGTTTACAGAAAAGCTGAACCAGTACTCTGAACTTCTATCTATTCCCCTTTCCTCCAGCTTCCCCTATTATTAATATCTTGCGCTGGTGTGGAACATTTGCTATAACTGAACCAATATTGAAACATTATTATAAAGTGCATATTGAATGTTAGCATTCTTCATGTTACACAATCTATGGGTTTTGACTGTGCTGTGTATCCATCACTACTCAATATCTGCAGAATAATTTCATTGCTCTAAATATCGCTTGTGGTTGATCTAATTATTCATTCCCTCTTCCTCACCAAGAACTCCAGGCAACCATTGATCTTTTTAATCTCATTGGTTTTGCTTTTCCCAGTTTGTCAAATAATTGAAATTATACAGCATACAGCCATTTCAGATTAGCTTATTTCAATTAACAACATGCCCTGAAATTTCTCCATATTTTTTCATGACTTGACAGTTTGTTTCTTGTTGTTGCTGAATAATATTCTATTTTATGGATGTATCATATCTGTTTATCTGTTTACCTATAAAGGGACATCTTGGTTGCTTTCTATTTTTGGCACTTACAAATGAAACTGCTATAAATATTGTGTGCAATATAATACAGAATTTGTGCACTCAAGTTTTGATTCCTTTGGGTAAATAGCTATAAGCACAACTGGTGGATTATATGGTTACAATATGTTTAGTGTTGGTTAAGAGACTGCCAGGTTGTCCTCTAAACTGGCTGTATCATTTTGCAGTTCATCAGTAGTAAGGGAGAATGCCTGTTGCCCCGCAAGCTCACCAGCATTTGATGTTATCAGTATTTTGAATTCTGGCTACTCTAACAGGTGTGCAGTGGTATCTCATTGTTTAAGTTCCAATTCCCTAATTAAAAATGATGAACACTTCTCATGAACTTATTTGCCATTTGAGTGTCTTCTTTAATGAGGTGTTATTCTGATCTTTTGTTTACTTTTTAATTGGGTTGTTTTCTTGTGATTGAGTTTAAAATCCTCTTTGCATATTTTAGATAGAAGTCCTTTATCTGATATGTGTTTTGAAAATATTTCTCCCAGTCTGTGCTTTCTGTGCTTTCTCTTCATTTCTCTTAATAGTGCATTCACAGAGAAGAGTTTTTAATTTTAATGAAGTCTACATTATCCATGTTTCTTTCATGGACTGTGCTCGATTTTCTGTCTAGAAACTCAGCACCAAACTGAATGTCACTAAGATTTTCTCCTAAAACATCTCCTAGAAGTCTTGTAGGTTTGTGTTTTGCATTAGGTCTGTGGTATCTATAGTGATCACTGGCTTTTTCTGAATGCCAAACACTGACAGGGTAAAACTCTGAAGTTTTACCCAGTGAGCATGCCCACTGGGATCTGCCTGGGCAGAAGTCACAGTGGTTACATGTGGTAGTTCCTCAATCAGCTTCATCTAACCTTTCAAAGCTAAATAACCAGTGGAATCAGGAAATTCCAAAGAGAGGCTTTTCTTTCCAAGGGGGAGAATCCAAGGAGTGACACTTTTTACATGCCTCCAATTTATTTGGCCTCCCTATTTATGGAAAATATATTTATAGCAGTTTAATTGCTAAATTCCTCAACATCAGTAGGAGGAAGGCCTTATCAAAAGAACACAGGCTGGCTTATGTCAAAAGGAGGAAGTGATGAGGAATAGTTTCAAAATTCTCTTTAAACAGTCATGTACACCCCCAGCTCCCATGATCAAGTTTTTGCCAAGATTTTTTTTTTAATCAAAACGATCCTTATGTGAAATCTGCACATCAGTTTAACCATTACTACCAGTCTAAGCTAGCAATGTATGTATAAGCTGTACCCCGATGAAAGAAATATAAAATAAAACAAAAACAGAAACTCTCCCCCTCAATACAATTAATCCAAGCACAGGGATTTTGACAATCATTGGTCTTGCTAAGTAACTTTACTCTTCCCCTAAATTAGTAGAGGAATAGATTCATAACTCCAAAGCCAATATGTCCAAGTATATCCTGAGGTAAGTAGCCCCAGCACCTTTATTTGAATCATTGTGGTTCCCAGTGCCTTCAGAAAAGGAACTTTAAAAAGAACTTTTAGAAAGTATACTTACTACAGTTAAAACTCTATCCTCCATTTCTGCCACAAGGCAATCCTAAAGAAAGGGAAGAAAAAAATGAAAACTAAGCATAAGAATAGAAAACTTCCAAATAACTACAGTTTAGCTCTTTGGATTTTTTTCATGGGGCTCAGAAGGACCTGACACACCCCCTGAGCAGCACTCCCTCATCTCGACAGGACAGAGGGGCAGAGCAAGAATGGAGCTGACGCCGCTCTTCCCTGAGACCCCACTCTTCCCTGTCCACAAGAGTTTACAATCTAAGCTCCATTTGACCAAGTTCTTCACTTGAAAACCTACAAAACGCCCCAGCTGAACTCCACCTGCTCTCCAGCCTGTCAGAGAACAGCGAGTCAGAAGTCAAAAACCAAGAAACTTGACAGTGGCTCCCAAAGTCACCCCAGGCTCGTGAACAAGGGGGCCAACAAGCCAGCAGTCTTCAGCTCTGAGCCGCCTATAGGAATAGTTTTCAATTGAGGGCTTGAGTAAACTCAGCCACAAAAGTTTATTTTAAGCACCACTGAGATTAAATCAGATATTTCAGTCCTTGGTAGATGAAAAAAGGTTTAACAAAACATTCATTAACACACTGCCAAAAAAGTGGTGTTGAGGTATGCTATTGATGACATTCAACGAAGGGCCGGAATGCAAAGCATTATTTACCCAGCTTGAGAACAAAAGGCTCGGGATGCTGTACCAACAGGGCCAGCTGATTATGGGAATCGCCATTGTCCTGTGCAGAAGCCACTAAAGAAAAACTGCCAATGCGAAACTTTCAACTTGTACAGTTAACCTTCTAGAACTGTCCACAGCAGAGGATTTCAACCTACTCCACGGGGTGCATGTGGAAGGAAAGGAACTGCCAGCATCATTAAGCACAATCCCAAACGGGGACAACCGTAAGGACAATGCTAACAATTTTAGGTACTTGTACAGTTCCAACTCTGTTGGAATCATCAGGCAACTATTTCTACTTAAATCAATATGTCATTTTTAGATCTTTTCTTTTTTCACTATCATTGGTGGAGGGGATGGCTACCAATTTCCACCCTGTGATTTAATAATCAGACTTTTGTTGTCTCCTTAAAATGTTTTAGAATGCTCTCTATCTGAGAAAAGAGTAGGAAACTAAAATAACTACTCTCCTGAACCCCAAATTTACAAAGACTCCAGAAAAGAGCGACCCAGGAGGAAACAATCAAAAAAAAAAAAGAAATTTTAGAACTGCATATGTCTTTAATCTAAAATGCATGTGTGAATCTGATGTGAATCCCAGCTACAGAAGCAACTTATGTAAAATATAATAACTATAGATCAAAGATGTCTGCTTTTCTGCTCTTAGTTGATGGAACTAGACGATTCACTACCATTGCAGTGTACCCTGTTATTACTGTCTAAGTGGCAGAGTTATTTAATAAACACCAGATTTAGAAGAACAGTACAGTCATGGAGCTTTGGTAGAAATATAACTAACAATCTGTATTTCTGATCCTTCATTCCAAATTGCAAAACAACATAAGCCCTGTCATCCTTGGGAGACTGTCAACCTGAGGCAGTGACTCCTCTCCACGCACCACAACCGAGAGTCAACGTGGTGATGTGACCACATGGCTCTAAGCCACCAAGAACACAGGCTCCTTGTGTGAGCCCACAGGGGTGAGTTTGCCTCTCACACTACTCAAGTCAGATGAGAAAGGGCTCAGCGTTACTTCCTCCCAGGGGGAGGTGGCTTCCCACTCCCATTTCTGCTGGGAAGAAACAGCTGCAGACCTGACTTCCGGCTGCTTGGCATGGCGGGTGATGGAATGGAGAAAGAGGGACTGAAGAGTCACCCTGGTGAGTCAGACAGTGGGCAGAGCTCCTCCCTGGCAGTCCCTGGTCACCTGGATGAGCAGACTCACCTGGGCCTGGCAGCCAGTAGATTGCTCCTGCCTGCGCTGCTCACTGCACCTTATCAGGAACAGGGCAGCCTTGGGCAACCTCCCTGTGCCTCTATTTCCTTCTCTGTAACCCAGGATGACAACAGAGCTGTGGACACCCAACACACAAGGCATGCTCAACCGTGGACTCCTCCTCTTTCACTTCCACAGCCATTGTTCACTCCATTCCCCATTTCCTGAGCTCAAATCTTCTTCATGTCCCTATTTCTTTCCAGACTGGCTGGCACTCAACACCTGCCCTTGCCACTCATCTCATTCACCATCACCGTTCGGTTTTCACACGTGGAGGACAGGCTGGGAATAGGAACCACATCTCTTCCCACATGGTTTCCACCGCCTCGAGACTGGCTGGGAAGGTGGATCCCTGGACTTGTGGCAGGACCACAGCTGAGACAGTCTTTAAGGAAACGGGCAGCGGAAGAAAGGCAGGGGCTTGACCTCCAAATCAGCAGATGATAAATTATTGGAAGAAAGGAGGCAGAGAATGTGGCAAGAAAGAGGAGGGAGAAAAGGAAGTTATGCAGGAGGAGAAAAAGGACAAGCAAATGTCCTTTTTCTTCACAAATGGAGACACAAGGGAAAACATGGTCTTCAACACTAGAAAGAGAAGCACCCTTCATCCTCCATTCCCCAGGGAAAAGGAGCACATGGAAAGGATGGGTTTCCTCCAGAGTCCACAGATCTCTGTCAAGATGCAGTGAGAGTGGGCAGTTCCCTGGAGCTGTCAATCGTGTGGCCGCCATGATGCCACACATTGGAAATGACATCCAACTCACTCATCAAGGTAACTGTCCCAAATTCCTCCGTGTGTGTATATACGTGTGTGTGCACTGAGACTCCCATGGGGAGATCTATGTAAGTCAGCAGCTCACAAGGGCCAACACCTCCACAAACACAAGGAGGGCCGCCCCCCTGAGGCAAAGCAGTCAGTCCTCCCTGCAGGTGACACGGGACGTACCTGGTCCAAAGACTCAGCTCCTCAGGGAGTCACACCACACACAAGCATCCCAGGTCACATTCTACCCTCGGCCCTGTGTTTCCTGCTCAGCTCTTCTCTAGCATCATGGCACTGTGTCCCCCCGCCCCATATAACATATATATCATTACATATGCCTCTGTGCATATATGTATATGATTTTCCTCATTTAGCACTTGATTTTCTCTTTCCTCTTCAGGTGTTTATTCCCTCTGGCACCCCAGTGCCTAGACCAGGGACAGACACAGAGTGGGAACTAAATAAATATTGACTGAAGGAACTGTCCCAATACCTGCAAAGCAACACCAACCCTCTCAGACAAAGCAGACTCATGCTGTGAAAACAAATGCCACCACCTCTGCCACCTACTTCAGCACTTCCCCCACTGACTGGGCCGCCTGAGTCAGCTACCTGGGGTAGGGCCCTTCACTGGTGACCTGTGCGCAAAACTGACCCATTTCCTAATTACAATGTTCAGCTCTTCCACTTTCATTTAATTGATTACAAGAAAACTCAAGTTAAAAATCAAAGTGGGAGGCAGAATATTAGGAGGAGAAGGAAACAGAAAGGAAAGAGACCACTCCAGGTAGGTAGGATAGGAAAACACCTTTTACAACCCATGCCAGGCCTCGGCGGCTGCTATAACTAATATACCACATCTGGTGCCAGACTCCTTTTGTCAAAAATACTTTATGCATCATTAAAACACGTAAACACAGTGCCACTTAGGAGCTCCAAGCATCTTTCTCATTCTGGCCTCGAAAGCGCCTACACAAAGTTCAATGGCTGCTCAGGATGAGATCTCAAACACCTGCCACAGGCAAAGCCAAATTTCACTCTTCTTGTTTCAGAAATGTTCAAAGCATATGTCTTTTCAAGATTGCATCTCTGAGGTGGCATGGTCAGAACTGAGGGGAGGATTTTCTTTAGTTCTTGCCAAGTAAGTAGTGGAAACAAATACTGAATCACAGAATTTTAGAACCAAGCAAGATATGCGGTAGGGGAAACACTTCCTTATATTTTATAGTCTCGATTCAATTAAAAAATAATTAATAAGTATCTACTATATGCCAAGTATATAATAGGAGGTGGCTAGCTTAAGTGCTCATTTTCAAATAATTTTTTTTAAAAAGTTAAGATCATACAAGCTAGATACGTTACAGACTGACTGATACAAAACTTCTTGGGCCCTGACTAGGTCAGGACGATGAGCCAAGAGTGAAATGGACATGTGTCCCTTCCAAACCAGAACATGTGAACCTCCAGGTTCTCTATCTCTGTGCCATGAGGACCAGCTGCATGAGATACTGGTTGTCTTGTCAGTCTATGTGTTGAAGAGAGGAAAGTCACAGCACATCTCTGTGCTGACCCATTTGGAAGCAAGTAATCAAGGAATAAACTGCTAAAGTTTAGGGGTTGTTTGTTACTGCCTCATAACCTAGTCTATCCTGACCAGTCAATCCAACAACCAGAAGTCAGAATGAAAGGTTAGAATCAGCAGATACAGCAAAGTGCTCAGAACAAAGATTGCAGTGAAGAATTTAATTGAAACTCCAGAATTTAATTGAAAAAAAAAAAAGTAAGAGCTCTAATATTCGAGTAGAAGAATAAGACTATTATTAGTTCAACCATTTTAAAATAAAAGAAGGTCATCTCAGATTCAAAGGTCACTGATTATTTTTCACAGAAACTGTCTGCACAATGCATTTAATTTTAAGTTTTTTGTCTCTCCCAGATTCTGATGGGAAAAAAAAAATGTTTGGGAGAAGGAATGTAGGCATACATCATACTGGGTGCCCACCCTTTGAAAAAGAAGAGAAAGGGAGAAGACATTTTTGGAAAGTGACAATGGTGTACTACCCACCTTCTGCACGGTCGTGGTCAGGTCCAAGCAAAGCTGAATGATTTTGTTCTTTGTTACTGAGAAATCAGTGATCCCTGTAAACGGAGCCCTAGAAAGTAACAAAAATTCTGCTTAGAGCAAAATGGGGGTGAGAGGAACCCACAGGCATTCTGCACGTTGTGCTGGCAAGCACAGCCACACAAGGTATCTTTCCCATTGCTATTTCCTCAAGGAACACGTGCAAGAGGAAACTGGATGGGAGAAGAGAAAGGCTAGATAAAAACACATCAAAAAATGAGCCACGAAAGTTAACATCACATCAGAAGTGATCTAACAGCCTTCATACCAACCAAATACTCAATCATTAATGTTTAACCCAGTAAAACATAACCTTGAGCCACAGTTGCCCTCTCTTCTAGGCTGAGGTTAATTTGTTCCTGTTTTTAACCTTTTAAGCAACTTCCACAGGAACCCGAGGATCTACGCTGATCTAAGATTCCCGCGTTGCAGGGAAAGGACTTGAGAGGGACGATGGTTCAGTTTCCTCAGACCAAGTACAGCCTCCTGTGCCCCTGAGACCCTCCGCGACTCACCGGTCCAGCCAGGCTAGCAAGGCCTTGGCAGCTCCTATGAGCTCCACCACAGACGTCAGGAACTCGTTGGGGGGCTTATATGATGTGCTCCCGTCATAAGCTGGACTTTTCCGCCGGCTACTTATGTAATTCTGTAAATTGTGGGAAGATGCCCGCAGTTTCAGAACCAAGTTCTTCATATTATCAGTTTCAAGGCCATAATTCTATAGGAAATAAAAATCAAAGGGAAAAATGCAAAATGATCAGCAATGTCCAGACTCTCATAATAACTCAAGAGCCCACTGAGCGACTAGAATGATTTTTGCAGCCAGTCCAGAATCCCACACCATCTACCCACAGCCAAACTCACCCAATCCCACCCACACTGGCAACTCTGCTCCACCCACAGCCTGCTCTGCCACAGGACTTGGTTCTTATTCTGTCTCTCCCCACAGATCTCAGCGTGGACAGCTCATTCTCACCACTCGGGTGCTGGCCCACGTGTCCCCTCCTCTGTGAAGATTCCTGACCATTTAATCCTGAGCAGGCAGGTTTTCTCAGCCTCGGCCCTGCTGATGTGGGGCTGGACAATTCTTGGCTGTGGTGGCAAAGTTCCTGGGCACTGCCAGATGTTCAGCAGCACCCCTGGCCTCTCCCTATTAGATGTCAGATGCATCCCCTCCCCAGTATGACAACAAAAAAATGCCTCCCAACATTGCTGCATCTTCCAGAGGGACACACCACCCACTTCTGTCCCCATCTGCACCACTGTGTCTGTGCTGTCCTCCTTGAATGGGATGCCAGGCCTGCACCAGGTGGGGAGCAGGGGTCTGTGCATGGCTGACTACTGTTTCCAGCACAGCAAGCAACACTGTAGCCCTTGAGTGGATGGATCTCCATCAGTCAAGACTCACAAAACAGCCACATCAAGGGTCACTTCACCTGGAACCTATCTACTGTCCCTCTCCAGAACTTCTAACCTGTGTTCTTTCTGAACAAGGTTTGACTTTTTTGAGTAATTTAAACATCAATTTCATGTGACGATATTGTCCTAGACTCTCTTTCAGATAAAGAACCAAATCCTAGGAAATAGCACATAAATGGGAAATGACTTTGGAGGGGATAGTGTATATTTCTGTATTCAATTGCACATACATATCCTAAATTGATGTTTGTGATTTTAACAAAAATGGAAGATATTTCTGGGGTTACATTATACTCTCTCGATGGCACCCCCAACCAAGAACTTGGTACTATTTAAAAACTGGGGACAACATACTGAGCACTTACTCTATGCCAGGTGCTAAGTGTTGGATTTGTATTATCTCAGGGAAACAGCCTATGACGGTGGCAATGTCATTTTCAGTTGAGTGTCCCTTATACAAAATGTTGGGAACCAGAAATGTTCAGGATCTGTTTGTTTTTTTTGTTGTTGTTGTTGTTGTTGTTGTTGTTGTTTTGCGGGGGGGTGGGGGGGTGGGCAGGGTGGTGGTGGAATATTTGTATATGCATGACCTATCTTGGGATCCAAGTCCAAACATAAATTCATTCATGTTTCATATACAACTTATACGCACTGCTAAAGGTACTTCTACACACTACATTTAATGTGCCTGCTTCTTGATTATGACCCAGCACATGACAGCAGCTGTGGAATTTTTCACTTGTGGCATTATGTTGGCCCTCAAAAATGTTACAGCTTCCTAATAAAGGAAAAAGGAGGCCCAAATCTTCATCATGTCAGATTAGGCCCTGACTTCCTTAGCAAGACTCCTAAAGCAAAGAAATAAAATCAAGAATCAATAATAAATGGGATGGATTCAAACTAAAAAGCTTCTTCTTAGCAAAAGAAACAATCAATGAGGTGAAGAAAGAGCCTACATTTTGGAAGCAAATTTTTGTCACATGCTTGTCAGACAGAGCACTAATCTCCAGGATAGATAAAGAACTCAAAAAACTTAACACCAAAAAAACAAATAACCCAATCAATAAATGAGCTAAGGAGCTGAACAGACACATCTCAGAAGAAGATACAGGATCAATCAACAAATATATGAAAAAAATGTTCAACATCTCTAGTAATTAGAGAAATGAAAATCAAAACCACTCTAAGATTTCATCTCACGCCATCAGAATGGCACTTGAGTATCTTTATATAAAATGCTGGAACCAGAAATCTTTAGGATCTGTTTTTTTGTTTGGTTTTGTTTGGGGGGGGGCGGAATATTTGTATATGCATGACCTATCTTGGGATCCAAGTCCAAACATAAAATTCATTCATGCTTCATATACAACTTACACACATTGCTAAAGCTGCCATCATGTGCTGGGTCACATTCAAGAATACAAACAACAATAAGTGTTGGAGAGGATGTGGGAGAAAAGGCACACTTACACATTGCTGGTGGGACTGCAAATTGGTGCAACCATTCTGGAAAGCAAATTTTTGATAGTTTGTTCCATCTTAGAAAACTTGGAATGAAACCTTCATGTGACCCATCTATTGTACTCCTCAGTCTAAAGCCAAAGGACGTAAAATCAGCATGCTATGCTAACACAGCCACATCAATGTTTACAGCAGCTCAATTCACAATAGCTAAACTATGGAAGCAACCTAGATGCCCTTCAATAGATGAATAGGTAAAGAAACTGTGGTATAAATACACAATGGAATATTACTCACATTAAAAGAGAATAAAGTTATGGCATTTGCTGGTAAATGGATGGAATTGGAGAAAATAATACTAAGTGAAGTTAGCCAATCCCAAAAAAACAAAGGCCAAATGTTCTCTCTGATAAGTGGATGCTGATCCATAATTGGGGGTGGGGGGAGGAGGAACTTTGGGCAGGGGATGGAAGGGGCAGGAAAGACAGTGGAATGTGATGGACATTATTACCCTGTGTACATGTATGTGCAACACTACATCATGTACAATCAGAGAAATGAAAAGTTGTGTTTCAATTGTGTGCAATAAATCAAAACACATTCTGCTGTCTTATATACCTAATTTAAATAAATAAATAAGATGTTGCAGCTTGTGAAACATTTCAGATTTCAAGTTTTCAGATCAGGGATGCTCAACCTTTGTTTTTTATTTTACAGGTGAGGAAATTGAGGCACCAAAAACAATAAATTTTCCAAAGTTACAGAACTCATCAGTGGTAGGATTGGGATTCTTGCCTGGTTAATCTGAATCCAGGCACAGACTTTCCATCTGTCTACTGTGGATTCACCCAGATGTTGCACACATCTGCCCAAGAAAGAGTCAGGTGTGAAGTTGGAAGTAGGTCGAACATTAGACAAGAACAAGGAAATTAGCCAGTGATCCCAGGTGGAACAAACAATCAAGCTGCTTAACTGGCCAAAATTCTATGCTGACAAGTTCTACCCTCCATCCAGCCAACAGGGCCAGAGAGGGCAGGTCAGCATCAAGATGCATAACACATAAATACATTCAGAGATTTGCAAGAGCTTCCCCGCCCCCAGCAAGAACAATGGTAAGTTAACAAAAGGCTCTGGCTTTGAGGAAAAGTCTGACTTTAAATAGATTTTATTGGACATTTAAATTTGTTGTTTACTACTAAAATTTTTAAAAATTAGATAGAAATTTTGGAAGCATAAATGAATCACAAGCCATCTTTTACAGACTTTAAAAGATGCAAATTTCCAAATATAAATGTGCTCTGCATTAAAAGCAATGTCCTATTGAAATCTTAGATTCACTCACTTTTCCCCATCACTGTGTTTTTTATTTTTTTTTTCTCTAGAGACTAAAATATAATATTTCTCTTCAATGGAGAAGACAAAAACAAAAAGAAGTACTTTCATGGTGGCTTTTGAAATTCAAACAATCGAAGACTCACAATAGAGTGGATTAAAAGCCCACATGACACAGCTTGTTTTGAAGGACCTGTGAAGATGATGAGAGGGACACGTCCCCTGGTTCAATCACTCAGCCTGCTCCCATCAACAGTGTTGACAGAGAACAGCCAGGTTGGCTGTCCATAGCAGTGTCACCACAATTACGTGGAGCTTTATTCCCGCACACATTTACCTCTAGAACTCCAAAAGAATTAGGCACATTTATTATTATTTAAAATCTCCATCTTGTCACTGTTAAAATAAAGGGGGAAGGTAGCTTCTTGCAACCAGTTCTTTCCATTTTCTACTCCATTTGCTCTGTTTTTTTGTTTGTTTGTTTGTTTTACAAAACAAATCATGGAACTGGAAAGAGATGGAGAGATGCAGCTAAAATTGAGTATGACTTTTAAAAGGAGGAAGGATGGGGGAAAGTTTGCTCCCTTCGACCTTATTCCACAATTAGGAGAGAACAAGAGACTCATTATATTGGCTGGAAAGGACCTCTGCTGGGGAATGTAAGCAAGGAGGGATCATCGACTTCAGTACCCCACAATAAAAACTGAAAAATGAAGAACTTTTCAGACGAGATTTGATTATTTTCATGGGTCTCTTCCCTAAAACCTGTCTCTGTCTGAAATTGCTGTAATATGAGGCATCCAGAAGGTATGAACTATGAGGGGAATAGAGCTCAGTGGTGAGGGTATTCTTAGCACGCAAGAGGCCCTGGGTTCGATGAAGAAGAGAAAGAGGCAGGCTGGGATGTGGCTCAGCGGCAGAGCGCTCACCTAGTACACACAAGGCGCTGGGTTGGATCCTCAGCACCACATAAAAATAAATAAATAAAATAAAGGTATTGTGTCCAACTACAACTAAAAATGTATATATTAGAAAAAAAAAGAGAGAGAAGAAGAAGAGGAAGGAGGAGACAAAACAAATCAAGTACCAAAATGAGTCCCCCCAAAATTACACACATGCTAAACTGCACCCACTGCCATCTCACTCCATTTGCTTAAGGTCTGGCCATCAGCAACATTTCCAGATCTGGCTGGGAAACCACACACCAGCCAAAAGGAAAGGAAAGAGGCCAAATTCTCAGTCTTCTGGAGACTTAAAATTATCCACATTTTAGCCAAGGACAAACAACACAACTTTTCCTCCTTCTTCTTTTCCCATTTCTACAACCTCTGTTCATGATCTAAAGGCATGTCAGAGGCACAATCAAAGCCATCTTATTGACTTGAGTTAATGAATTAACTAAGAATATACTTGATGGTTTCCCTAAGGGTATTTGATAAGCTCCTAAGCAAGATCAAGTTCAATGCAACTTGATGACAAAGAGTCCTCTTCTGCCTGATATCGCCCATTAAAGGAGAAAGAAAGAAACTTCCCACAGATTTTCCATGGTAAATGATGGATAATGAATCATCTCGGGGGTGTGGCTGCACATCAGCATGCTACACAGGTAGATTCAGTACAGGTGTTTCACTGAACCATGAATGTAGGCAGTGTCGCTGAACACATGTATTCATTCCAACTTTTTGACTACTCAGCCTACTTCAACCTTAAAAGGACAGCTGCCCTTGCCCTAGTCTTAGGAAACTAGGGCTTCATTGATCTGACAAAGAACACAGGACCCCACTGTACTTTCTTAGTATCTACCACAGATTCTTGACCTGTGCTGTTCAACAGAACTTTCTACAAGATGACAACGGTCTTCATCAGCACTATCCAATATGGTAGCCCAGAGCCATACACAGCTACCGAGCACGGGCAGCATAGCTCGTGTGGCTGAGGGGCTGACTTTTAGTTCATTTTAAGTCATTTCCACTTAAATAGTCACATGTGGTAATAGCTATGTTCTGGAAAGAGCAGCTCTACAGTGTGTACCAGTTACCCTTTGCCCCATACAGCAGGAAAAACAATGGGCCCAGATTCTGAGCTCAATCCTGGCAGGTGATCCTACTCCATCTCATAATGCAAGTCACTCTCCTAAGCCACTCCTGCTACCGAGGTCACTGTTCACAAAAGGCAGTTTCTCCCCTGGCTCTCAAACAAGACCAACCAACCGTGAGTCACTGTGAGCCAGTTTGGGGGAATTAATCAATAGCTCTTCCTTATTTTCAACCCCTATCCATTCTATCTACTCCTGTCTTTGCTCCAAAACTTTCCAGCGATTTTGTTATTTCCTCCCTCCTTCCTTACTTCTAATTCTATTCATTTCCTGTCTATTATAAAATCAACATCCACTGAACTGAGTTTACACAGAAACCTCTTTCATAACACCACGGCCAATCACGGTTACCCATCAACTGCCCAGGACATGAATATGCAGGGCAAAAAGCTATTACCAATTTGTGCATCCAAAGATTTATATGATAGTGAATTAAACAGATAGCGTTATTGTATGTGTTATGATAAGAATATTTTAAATGATGCTATGAAGACTAGAGATATTTTACTAAAATGCTTAAGAAACTCTCCGCAGCTCATTTGCAAACCCCCAAGGGACCCTCCTGCCCAGCGTAGTCTGGGGCTCCACTGCACAGAGCAGGTCCAGAATGAGTCTGAGGTCAAAGCCCGGTCTACGGAGGAAATTAGGAGGAAATTGTAGGAGATAAAACACAGCTTTTGGTTCTGGCACTTGTCCAGCTTTGTTCATTTTACTCTAATGTTTTAAGAGGCAGGGAAGAGGAAAGAGCAAAGAGAGAGCCCAGAGGCAACTGCTGTTTATCCTCCTGCTGGATGTACACAATGTGCCTCTGGTCGACCCCTTCTCCTTGGAGGCGGTGGATTTCAAAGTAATTGACTTGCCCTCAAAGTATTACTGCAAAGTGAAGGAGACAATTCAAATTCACAGATCATCTAGCAGAAAAGACCGAAAAGCCATGTTCCCAGAAAGTATAATAAAAGTAAATTCAAACATGTTGGACTGTGAAAACCAGACAGTTTGAATAATAAACAGGATGCTTAGGCATGTCCTCAGCAGTGCAAAACCCTGACCCGTAAGTGCACAGCCCCATCTAAGGTGAGTTACTGTACAGATGGGGAAAACAGACTCCCCAGAGGCCACAGAGGGAGGAATCTCCAGAGCCCAGCCAGGATTAGAATGCAAAAATCCTGCTTCCCCGGCCAATGCTCAGGCCACTTGGCCTCGGTGTCTCCCTGGTGGCAGCTCATTTATCAACCACAAATAATTTCCCCATTACTCTCCCAAACAAGAGCAGCGCATCCCAGTGCAGAAGACACAGCTCTGTCCATTTTAAGAAGAAGAATATGCACAATGAGGCAAGTGTTGTATAATCGACGGAACGCAGACCAGCGATGGCAAACCCATCTCGAGCACATTCTTTCCCACATTCTGGGTGATGTAATTGTATATACCTCTGGCTCGTGTTCAGAGCATTACTAACCCAGCTTGAATGCCGACAAGCGCGTCTAAATCCTAACAGTTAAGTAAACGGCATCTTTAACATGGCACCACGGCAGATGGACTTGAATCCCACCCATACCAGCCAGTTTGTAAACAAAGTGCTCTGACAGGTGTTTTTGGCCCACACCTAAAGGAGCTGAGCACGCAGCCACTACACGGTGTAATGCCAGCACCAGGGCCCAGCAGGATGACACCTACTCACACACAGCCAGAGTTAAGCATCTATAATATGCAGTGAAGTTCAGCATTTTCCCATCTAGCTGCCATTTCCTGGGTTGATTATTTCAAATACAAACATCAATTCATTCAAACAGCACAAATATCTGTGAAACTGAATATGTTTTCAATAGTCACAAAAGCAGACATGAAAATTGGGACATTTCTCATTTCCATTTAGAAGACAACATTTGCAGTGAAGATTGGGTCTATCCTTTTAGTCTTTACAAAAGATAAGAAAATAAAACAAATACAGACATTTTCCATAAAAGGCAACTTTTTTCTGTAAAGGGCAAAAGAATAAATATCTCAGGCTTTGGAGGACCACACAGTTCCTTTTATAACTGCTGAACTCCGCTGCTGCAGCAAAAGAGCAGCCTCAGACAACACAGGAGTGAATGAACACAGCTGTGTTCCAATAAAATTTTATTTACAAAAATAGACAGTGGGCTGGTCACTGGTGGTGCACACCTATAATTCCAGCAGCTCAGGAGGCTGAGGCAGGAGAATCGCAAGTTCAAAGTCAGCCTCAGCAATGGCGAAGCACTGAGCAACTCAGTGAGACCCTGTCTCTAAATAAAACACAAAATAGGGCTGGGGGTGTGGCTCAGTGGTCAAGTGCCCCTAAATTCAATCCCCACGCATCCCCTCCCCCAAAAAAGAATAGACAGTGAGCCAGATTTAACTCACAGACCATAATTTTCTAGCCCTCATTCTAGAAAATGATATTTTTCTTCCCTTCTCATAGTATCTTCAATTCATGCTTCATGGATCACTAAGAAAATAATGATATACTAGATCATGATGAGAACTGGACAGAATAAGGCTCTAAAGGAAGTCATTGCAGTACAGATCACCTCCTCCTGAACTAACCAGTGCACAGAGAAGGTCCACAGCCTCCAACACCAGCTCCTGGTGTCCAATTCGTGTGACCCCCAGCTCTTCAAGATCCTGATGGGAAATCCGCAGCAGCTGCTCCCCATCTATCTTCTCCCGCTCAAACTTGTGGACATACGGCTGCAGGCAGTCATCTAACCCTATCAAAAAAAAAAGAAAAATCCATTATCATCATTTCATTCCTTTACTCCCCCAAATGGTTCACATGTACATCAATCTCAGCAATCACCAAATACTGTTTATCTCTAAATGTATATTCCACCTGATAGGCACCCTTCATGTGACATCTTCTCATCTTAAACAGGTTTGAAATGCAGAGTGCAAAATTCTAAAGTGAACCAAGCAGAATTTTATTATAGGTACCTTCCCATTCCCTATAAACTAAAGGTGGAAACGCTAACTCCCTGCTGACTTGAAACACTAGTTATCTATACCAGACATAGGTTATCTGTTTGCTAAGCAACCTTTCCTTTGGGGACACCATGCCTCTTCCAGAGGGCTTACCAATCAAGATGCTTTGCTGGGCTGGGGATGTGCCTCAGTGATAGAGCACTTGCCTAGCATGTGTAAGGAAGGCCCTGTGTTCAGCACGGGGGGGAAAAAATACTTTGCCACAGTGGTTGGCATGTGGCCAGGCACCAGCCAGTCACAGCTGCAGGAATGGTCATGTGACTCAAGCAGAACCAATCAAAATCTTCCTTGTCATTTGGCACATGGCTACAAGACAGGAGCTCTTTCCTCCTTTCCAGCTGTTAGTCAGCGGGTACAACCAAGTGATCGGTTTTCTGAGAATACATCCATTTGAGAGGGGGAAAAAATGCTCTGATAATAACCTATAATCCCTGGATCCGACCTTCCTAAAGACTCTTCTACTCCTAGGATTTTTCTACTTCAGTTGAAAGGCATTCCCTTTCTAGCTGAAGCACGTCTGTGATAAGTTTCTGGCCTCTTCAACTGAAGTTCTGATGAGCACAAACCTGAAGGGGGAGGAGCCAGCGGCAGTTCAGAGAAAGTAACCTGAAGTGGATTAGCTTGGGGCAGCTTTTCCAGGTCAGATAGTTCGGTCAATGTCTGAAATGGGTAAGCCAAACAGGACTTGGGAATCTTCCTTCCTGTACAAAGAACTCTCTGGTCAACTGGATAATGGTTTTAATGGAATAAAATCTTACCCTGAGTCAGTCAATCTTTTCAAAGCTAATAATAAAAGTCGCTTTTGACTAGATTTATATAAATTCAATTATAAGACAAAGAATGAAGACTCAATTTTAAACAAAGCATGTGGAAGGCATGCTGCTGACCCTCCACCGTGCACGAACATGCACACACCATGCACACACACACACACACACACACACATTTAACCTTCTCAAAAACTGTGTCATGTGGATATTCCTCTGGATTGGAAAAAGTAGAAAGGAGGTCCAGCACTTCCTTTTGGTCACACTAAAGTCCATGAATCTTAAAATCAGATGATGTGGGCTGGAGATGTGGCTCAAGCGGTAGCGCACTCGCCTGGCAAGAGCAGGGTGCTGGGTTCGATGCTCAGCACCACATAAAATAAAATAAAGATGTTGTGTCCACTGAAAACTGAAAAATAAATATTAAAAAAAATTCTCTCTCTCTCTCTCTCTGTCTCTCTCTTTAAAAAAAAATCAGATGATGTGTGATCTTAAACTCCCACCCACACACACTCTCCCCCTTTGATTCCTATATATATATATATATATATATGAAGAAGAGTTTTGTGATAACCATTTCTTGCTATCAAATATAGAAATAGGAAAGGAACGATTTAATTTTATAGTAACAAACTCATCCTCCCCAAATTGACATCTGTCTAGCAGAGGGACTCTGTCCCAGCAAGTGAGCTTGGACACACTGATGCAAACCCTCTCCAACTGCCTTGAGCCTCGTAGCCTCTGGCCTGTGAGTCAAGCGATCAGTGGGGCAGGAAAGTCCAGAGGCTGAGAATGATACCCCCTACCTGGGGCCAACAGGCTGTCTCAGCACCCAGCCACCAGGAGTCTGTTCACTGTAGAAGGACAGTACCCATCTACAGCAGGCAAGAGCGGCAGGGGACAAGGCCCAGGGGCAGCCCCCTAACTACTCTGTCCTCACTTTATAAATAAGAAATTAAGGCTCCTGGAAGACATGCACATGGCCATGGCAGTCACATGGCTGGTGAGAAACCAGGAGAAGGATTCTGTCAGTTCTTCTTTTCAGCTGGATACAGGAAAAAAGAGCTTGAACTCAAACCAGTTCTACTGGTCACAAGCCTTTTGCTCTTCTGCATCCTACTTGATAAACAGGGGATTATAACCTGGGATTATAGAAATTCCTCTCCAAGCATCTTCCTAAATAAGCAGCAAGGCCCAAGTACAAAACAGTTATTAAAATAGAATCACAAAGCCTCAGAGGCACTTAAAAGATACTTTAGATCTAACTGAGTCCCAAATTGGAAAAGAGCAGGCCAAAGACAAATTACTGTGAACTCGACCATAAATCCCTTAGCCAGCTCTAAACCAGGTCACAAGCAGGTTTTCGTGTTCCTCTTTCAGGATCTGTCTTCTCCAGCCCACTTCTTAGCTTTACAAAGAATTTTTGTTTTAATCAGTCACAAAAAGTCAGGAAGGCTATCTCAGATATTTAAATACTGTTATGGCTCAATTATATCTCCCCAAAATTTATGTTCAAGTCCTAACCCTCGGTGCTTGAGAACATGTTTGGAGAAGGAATCTTTAAAGAGGATATTTAATTAAAAAGACATCATGAGAGTGGCCTCGATCCATCACTGGTGTCCTTGTAAGAAGATGCACAGATGCACTCGGCGGGAAGACCCCATGAAGACACAGCGGGAAAGACAGCCATTCATAAGCCAGAGTAGCCTCAGAAGAAACAAGCCCTGCTGACCTTGATCTCAGACCTCCTGCCTCCTGAACAGGTAAGAAATAAATTTCTGTTGTTTCAGCCACCTAATCTATGGTACTCTGCTATGGCAACCCCAGCAAATAAATCTAAGCCTAGCCCTATTTTATTTCATATCCATCCACATGACAAACTGTTTTTCTAATAAACAAGGACCAGTGACCAGTGGAACTGCAACTGGTGTCCACCGTGCAAAGTAAGCTCAACACTCAAAACTCAAGCATCAAACTCGGAGAATGATAGAAGTTTTCACATGCAGAATAAATTAGCCCATTAGAATGACAGTGAGGAAACCATGTCCCAGGGATGTTCAATAAAGAGAGAAATACAGATGTGGCCAGAGTTCCTCTTCCATTAACCAAAAAAAAAAAAAAAAGAAAAGAAAAAGAAAGAAAGGAAGGAAGAAATAGGATTTCAGGAGTAACCATGGAGTGAAGCATTTAAGTAATATGAGGAGTACAGAGAGGGAGACTGAGGATGTTGGTATAGCGAGGGCTCTAGTTAGAGTCAGGATGCAGGTGATCATACACTAAGAACTGTAGGGTACAGAGCAGACCAGAATCTCCTTGAGGATTCTGGGGGATGACAAGCAATGTAACCTCAAATCATCAAAAGCTCCCTATGACAGGCACCTGGGCTGGTTCCATAACTTGGCTACAGAACTGTGCTGCTATCAACACTGGTGACCGTATCAGTAGAGTGTGCTGATTTTAGTTCTTTGGGATAAATACTGAGGAGCGGAATAGCTGGGTCATACAGTGGTTCCATTTCTGTTCTTTTGAGGAACCTCCATACTGTTTCTCAAAGTGGATGTACCATGCATATTTATAAAGCACCAATTAAAGTAAGTAAATATTCAGTGGAATAGGCCTGTAATCCCAGCAGCTGGAGAGGCTGAGGCAGGAGGAGGATCGTAAGTTCAAAGCCAACCTCAGCAATGGCAATGGCGAGGCGCTAAGCAGCTGAATGAGACCCTGCCTCTAAATAAAATACAAAATAGGGCTGGGATGTGGCTCAGTGGTCCAGTGTCCCTGAGTTCAAACCGCAGTACCAAAAAAAAAAGAAAAGAAGTAAATAGGAAGAAGGGCAATAAGGGTATGGAAGAGAGGAAGGAAAGTGGGGGCACTGGGAACGGAAATGGAGAATTAAGTTCTATGATGTATGATTATGTCAAACTAAACTCAACCGTTATATATGATAAAAGTATTAAAATAATTAAATTACTTTTTAGAAGTTCACTGAGATGAAGAATCATCCAATAGGAATATCACAGTGCCACCTATATGAAGACAATCTAATGTGGCTCACACGCTGCCCCCTCAAACACACACAGATAATGAATATGCAGGTTTTAAACAGAATTGCTCCCAGGCTTTTATCACCCGATACATTACGGCCTATTGGTCAGTTATCGTAGGGTTCTGAACACAAGTAGACATTTACAAAGAGCCAACTTAAACTCCTGCGCAGTCCCACAAAGGAAGAGGAAAGCCCCATTTTGAGTGAACGGATCTAGCGGTTCTAGAATTTGCAATAAACTGTACTCTTATTTGCCAAATGTACCTATTTGCCAATTTCTTGCTTTCAGGGACTTATACAAAGTCTAGCGGGACTAAGAAAACATGTAATTAAGTAACATTAAGTGAAACACATTCCACTTACACAAATTAAATTAAACACCAACGGAATGTGAATTCATGGAGGATGGCCCAGGACCCTGAGGAACCAAGCTTCCTACTGTGACTGAAGCTAGCCCAAGCAACCCTAAGCTCACAAAGAAATCCCAAAAGCACAAGGGGCCTGTATAGGCCTGAGTTCCCTTCTCTGTCCCCCTTCTTACTGACGGGGTAACTTGGGGAAAGCTACTCAGCTGCCTCATCTGTAAAATGGGGAAACTAATACTGCCCGCTACAGAGAAGTGCCGTGAAAACTAATGTTAATATTTATAAAGAGTCTAGAAACGACGCAGCACATAATAAATGCACTATATATTTTTTAAAGAATATGTGATGTATTCAGGCCCTCAATTTTCTAAGTGTTCAGAATAAAAAACTGCTAGGGAGAAAAAAAAAAAAACCAAATTTAGGTGCCCCCTCTGGAACAGAGTAAATTGGAGATAAAAATCTCAACAGCCTATCGCCTTTCCCAGAAAGTGTCTGCAAATGTGACAGGTTGCAATAGCCTTGGTTTCTTCTAGAAGTGCTTTATGGTTTGC